GATTTTACAAGCAAAGGTATAATCATACCACAGACAGATTGGATGCAACAACAAGCCTTTAACTGAGAATAATTTTTCAGGCGTAATTACAGATAGCACCTATAAATATTTTACAAATACATTTCTGCTATGTATTAAATTCATTAAACATATATAACCATAAGTCATTATAATTTCTGATTAATTAACTTTATTTTTAATGGAAGTTCTATATATTGTTCCCTTTTGCAAAGATGTTTCTAATTTTAATTTCAATCATTCTTATCAAACAATTTTTATGCCCAGGTTATGGAGTTTAACATGGCAGAAAGGGGAGGATTTATAGAAGCCTACATTGAACATAAATTGTAAAAAATAAATGATTCAACAGCTTACTTTGAAGATTTATTAAAATATCATAGGAATTTATTAAAGGATGAGGCCAAGAAATTGTTGAAAGGATGTCCACAACATTTTCGACAATCTGTAAGCAGAATAAGCAGAAATCATGCCATTATAGACCACACATTATCATTGAATTTTACATCAATGACATTAAAACTTTTAACAATTAATAATGAAGAATTTTATAATCATGTTAAAAGCTTGCAAGAAAAATGGCCCCAAGGTTAGAATGGTGGATTTACACTGATGCAGGACCAATGCTTTTTCCTGCTCTAAGCACTATGAATAAGGATTTGTCAAATTTACTTCCTACTACAAATGTCCAAGAATCAATGCACCATTGTTATTATTTATCAGGTGCAACTCAACAGTCAATTATAACCAGTATAGAAAATCTCTTGCTGTTTGCAATTTTGTTAGAAATGGATTATGACAATCTAAGCAAAGATGTTTCCTTAAGATAGGGAGAACCTGAAAGATGGGAAAGAATAGCAGAAAAGTATGACACAACAAAACCAACATGTGTCAAAAGATCAATTAAAAAAGGTGCTGGTGTGAAAGACCATTGTCCATCAGACACAAGTAAAGCTCTATTTAAAAAATCCTCAAAGAAAAAAATGATTGGCGAATCCAAATCTGAAAAAGAAATTACCTCTCAAAAACATCAATCATACCCTCACAACAGAAATTATTAGAGTTGCTGTATAACAACTTTCTTAAAGACAAAGAATGGTGGGCCACAAATATTGGAATTATTAATGAAGATGACCCGGGAATTAAAAATATATATATAAGCTTCACAATGTGTTATCAATCAGAAGCTACAAAAAAACCCCTTTCTGAGGCATTATTATGAATTTGGATCATTGACTTTATGGTTCTATAATGTGATTTTTGAGAAGAGAAGGTCATTGAATATAATTTCTCATTTTTGTGTACTTGGGCTAAGGATGTGGAAATGTGATGAAGGGCATATTCGTATTTCACCAACATCCATTAATCCATTTTTTCCAGTTAATGGAACAAGAGATTTGATGGCCCATATTTTACAATAAACTCTAATTTAGTAGATGAAATGTCTGAATTTTTTAAAATGAAAAATAAGTTGATAAATCATGTTCATCCTGATGAACCTTGTCAACATTATCAGGCTAATATGAGTTTATGTGACAAAAGGAAACATCAATATGAAGAACTTATTATATCATGGCCAACTTTGTTAATGTTTGAGGTCACTGGAGATATGGATAATTATAATTCATCAGAGCATTTAGTTTTCCTTTGAACTTTAATTATAACAATTATGGAATAAGTTCAATCAGATATAATTTAACAGCAAGAGCTTTTAGTACATCATCAAGTGGAGTTCACTTTTATGCTAAGATAATTCGCAACAATGTTGTTTATAAATATGATGAAAAAGTCAAGGAGTTGCATCAATTGAATCAAAAGATCCAAATTCACTTTCAGGGGAACATCCTAATTCTGCTTTGGTTGTTTACAATTTATGTGATGATGAGGCCTCTACTAGGTTTTCTAATAGTTGCATAGGTTAGTATCAAATAAATATTAAAACAAAATATAAATATATGAAAATTTTTTTAATAATTCTATAATTTTTTGCAGAAATATTCTTGGGAAAATTGACAAGTTTGGAATTGAAATTCCTAAAGAAAAACTACATCAACAATAGACTGCAACTGAACTGAATAAGTTTTAATTTTCTTTAAGTAATTGAATATTTCACAGAAAAGAAAAATCAATTTACAAGTAAAAAATTTATTATTATTAATTCATATTTTGCATTTTGCATTTTAAATTAATTTGATTATTTTGTGTTTCACCAATCATGTGTAGAAATCTATTAGTAACCTGCAGAGATATAAAATTTTCATATATGGGGCGTGGACAATAGAAAAGGCTTCAACTGCAAAAATCGTGATTTTGAGTTGATACCACATATATATGTAAATCAATTTTGGCTTAAAAACCATACCCACTTTACTTAATAAAATTTTGAGATATTTTCTGTTAAAGCTTTAAAAACAATAGTAAATTACAGTGAGCCCTCCATAAATGCACGCTATGTCTCATTCCCAACCTTGGACTTAAGAGATAAATGCATCTCTCCATAAATACACAGAATGGCCTTCCCTTGTGATTTCTTAAAAGGCTGATGATTGGCTTAAAAATTTTTCCAATAAAAGAAATCTGATTATATACTTAAATTATAAAGACCTTCTAAAATTTTAAATTTCAAACTGGCACATTTATAGATAACTTGAACCATCCTTCATCAGAAGCATCCTTTCCAGCTAAATGAAGTCAATGTGATATACAATGAATTGAGGATATAGGTGCTGCCCAAATTAAAAATCAAGAATCCAAAATCCCAAATTACTTTGTTAGAATAATTGAGGACATAAAAGGATTGATTTTTTTTTTTAAACCTTGTAGCAATGCCAGTTTAATTTCCTCTCATATTAGACGCCCAGAATGAACTATTTTGTGATATGATATTTCGTTTGAAATACAAAATGATAAGATTTGATTATAAAATATTTTTTGCCAACAATATTTTCCCACAATTGCTAAATATTTATTAATACTATTAGCTTTATGCTCCAATAAATTAAGGGATTCAATTCTTCAAAAAGTGATTTTTTAATTATAAAAGTAATACTATCTAAGAAATCAAAAACAGAATGAGAATTCATATAACTTCCATATTTTGATTTAGATCTTGATGGTTTTTCTATGGAAGCAGGTTTTAATGTAGAAACAGTGTTATTTTCAATTTGGAAAGACATTAAGCCACACAAATCAGGATAAATGTTTAATGAAATATTTTGTTTGAATAGAAATAAATATTTCTTATTAATAAAATAATTGTCTTTATCATCTCTATTAGTTTCATTTTGACCCGAATCAAGTAACATTAATTCAAATTCTTTATGTTCAATGGTGTTTGGGTGATTCTCAATTTGATCTAAAAACATTTGTGCCTTTTTGTAAATTCTGGTTTTCCATTTTTGCTTCTACAAACTTTACAAAAAATTATGGTAATTAATAATAATTATAGCTATTATATACTGTAGCTTAAAGAGTTGATCGAGAATTTTCAAAAGAATTATTATTTCTCCTGTCTGGTCTCAAATGCCAAATACTTGAACTTTATATAAAGATTTAAAATATAAACTTGCCTATTTATTTAATAATATAATGCACAATTTAAAAATTATATGTAAATCAAAATAAAAATAAAAATAATATGCATACTACATATTTAAATTTGAACAAGAAAAATCAAATCCTTATTGAATCTATGCTTTTAGACCAATTATCCTCCTATCTGGGAAGCTCATGGAATAAGAAAAGTGAAAATAAAGATTTTAAACTGCTATTGTGTAAATTGGTTACTAAAAATTTTTAAACCTATATAAAGATTATCCTAATATTTGTTGAGAGAATTGCTATTAAAAGAAATTACTGTGATTTATTTTATCAATCATTATATTGATAAAATTAAAAAATAAAAAATTTACAATAGTGATTACAATTTATAGTTACAAAAAAATTAAAAAAGGAGCAATTAATTAATCAATTATAAGAAGATGACCAAGGATCATAACCTAAAAATGGATTTTTGTATAAAACTTCTTCAGGGATCTCATTATCTTGATTAATTAGATTAACCGGTTCTATTTAAATATATATTATTATTTAATAACAATAATAAAATAATAAATCAACATCTTTATATAAAAAAAAAATAAGAACTTACGTTCTTCCCCAAACCATAACTCATCATTATCATCAGAACGCTTTCTTTTATGACGACGATGATGACTTGTACTGGGACCACTTTCATCATCATCATCATCATCATAATCATCATCTCCAAGAATGCCATCTGCTTCACGCATTCTTTTTCTAAAGGCTCCAGTAGTGATCTGATTATAAAGTTTTTTTACAATTTCATGATCATCTTGTAAATTTGCTTGGCTGTTTCAAAATATAATTGTTAAAAGAATCATTCAAAAAAAAATATTTTATCTATTAATTAATCTAAAATTTTCACTTACTTAAACATAGTACGAGCAACATCATCATGTTTTGTTCCACCAGGTTCATCAACTATCATTTCTGCTAATGAACCAACTGAATCATTATCATCATTATCATCGCTCTCCTCACCAGCGCCCCCTAAACCAAAGTAATTTTCATCTTCAGATTCAACCGCTTCATCTTCAATGAATTTTGAGTTTACACGTCTTTTATTTTTATTACTATCATTATTACTATATGTAAGAAGTGATTCATGTATCTTCTTTTGTTTTATGTTTTTTGAAATATCAATAATTTCTTTGTTTTCATCTTCATCAATATTATTGTTGTTAACAACATTATCCTCATTAACGTCATCACAAACATCATGAACATCATTAACAACATTATCCTCATTAATATCCATATTAACATCATTAACAACATTATCCTCATTAACATCACTATGAACATCATTAGAAAAATTATCCTCATTAACATCATTATGAACATCATTAGAAAAATTATCCTCATTAACATCACTATGAACATCATTAGAAAAATTATCCTCATTAACATCACTATGAACATCATTAGAAAAATTATCCTCATTAACATCA